CGCCATGCATAAAACGAAATAGAGGAGCAATGTAGGGGCCAGGGGACTAAACGATCACCAATACGACTTCGGTGGTTCTTAAATATACGTATAGTATAATATACCCTAAAACCTTATTCCAATTCTCAGGGGTCTCTACTAAAGAAGGGCCCAGGCACCTGTAAGGGCACAGGGTGCAGGAGTGCTGCAAAGCCAAGACCTACGGTTGATGATATAAATCCTGCGTTACCTTAAGGACCCTAAACTATGGGAATTATGGTATATTCCTTATGATGGGTAATGCAAGATTTATACCATCAACTGTATGCGGACGTGCGAAAACCTGGTTAAGACTGCGAAGCTTAAACCCCCAAACTCCACAACCCTATGACCTTGATCCCTAAACCCTAAACCTTAAACCCTAATCCTTAAACCCCAATCACCCTCATCCCTAAGCCCAAAACCCGTGAGCCTCGGACCGCCTCACAAACAACAGCAAACCTTACCGAATTCGGAGCCCAGACAATACCCACTCCAGTGGCTGCTCGATCGATGAACTGGTGTGCCGAGCCACTCTACCAACCAAGATAGCATGTAGGGTTTTGGGTTCCGGGAGATGGGTTGTAAATGGAACAGACAGCAGGCAAGATGGGATTATGTTTTGAGGCGTTTCGAGTAGACCAGGGAGGGGTTTAGCCCCCTGTGACCTTTAGAGTTCAGGGTTTAGGGTTTAAGGGTTTAGGGGTCTCGAGTTTATGGGTTTAAGGGTAGTTAGGGGTTTCGGGTTTAAGGGTAGCTTCTGTGGAGCCTTGTCAAACAACTAATTCCTGGAGTCCGAGCGCTCTTACTGCTCATGCATGCCGGACCTTATAAGATCAACCCTGACTCCTAAACACAAATCCCTAAACCCATGCTTAATCCCTATAGTGGGAGTTTTCGGAGGCTGGTCGGCCTGTCTTGTCATCCCGCAAAAGGCACCCCAGGCAAAAAGCAAAGTGTTAAAGCCCCAGCGCCGGTGTTGCAAACCAAATCTAGACCCCAAACTCCCAAACACCTAAACCCTAAAACCCTAAAGCCCTAAAACCCTAAAAACCTAAAACCCTAAACCCCTAAAGCCCCAAACCTAAAGGGCCCTGAACCCTTTACCTTTAAAGCCCCGAAGAAGAATCCCCGGCTCAGGCCCCTTAGCCTTGGCGGCTACGCCTCCTTCCCTGCGGTGGGCGCGCGCAAGAAGGCCCCCATGTAGAGCTTCGCCATAGGCCCCATACGTAGTAGTTAGTTCCTTTTTGGGATTACCCTATAGGTTTCTATATATGAACCCCAGAAAGGAACTACAATGGGGCCTCTGGGTCAGTGTGCGCCTCGGGTCCGTAACATCAGGCTCGTGGTTGGGACAGTCCTCGTGATCTTACTGCCGTGGGTCTTCAGGGATTTGTTCATGAGTCTATCCACGGCTATTCCAACCACACAACTAGCGGCAGAGCTTGCAACAATAGTTAGTATGTGTCAGATGCAGTTGGCACTCCGCAAGCAACCGCAGCCTAAATTCCGAAACGTCATCATGGCAGCCATCGTTGCGATAGCATGAAAGCAAATAATCGTGTCTTCATCCTCGTCACCATCAGCATCACCCCTGTTTCGGCGGTTGAAGCATGGCTGCGGATGTTGGCATTCGGAGTTGCCGAAAGGGCTAAGACACACACGCACACACATCCTATGGAAGGTGTCTGCAAGTTTCAAACCTTCCCACGAGCGCCCCTTTCCCAGAGGCCCCCGACCTCTTCCAGCCCTTCCGTGGGATCCATTTCGCAGGGACAGAGCTGCTTGGATACAGGAGTAGTTACCCATAGGCCCCAAAGTAGTTCCTTCTTGGGCTTACCTTATAGGATTCTCAATATGAACGCCCAAAAGGAACTACTTTGGGACCTCAGGGTAGCAGCTCAGCAATAGTTAGCATCACGAGTTATGGTGCTGTGCATGCTCAGATTTTGCTGCAGTACTGCCTCCACTAGGAGCAAGAAGAAGCGACAGTCAATCAGAGTGGCTGTTTTGACGTATCGACGCCATGCACATGATGATCATGCTTGGCATCGTCATCACAACAGTCATCACCATCATCGTCATCATCGTTGTCGGCATGATGTCGGTAATTAAGGGCGATAGGAGATGATGACGAGGTTGCCAGCAGAGACTTTCTTGTCTGATGAGTTTGGATCGTCTTTGTGAACTATCCCTCCCCACGACTGTCCACATCGTCGACTTCCGTACGCGTTCCTCGGGCAGAGCCGTCGTGTACTGTATGCTGTTTTGGGGCGTTGGCGTTGGGTATGCCAAGTTTTCCATGAGTTCTCCTTCGCATCCCAAGCTCCATGCCAGCGCATCCGTTCTTCATGTACGCCGTGACCTGCTTCGACTGGTCTTCTTGCTTGCTGTTGATCTTACTCCTCGAAGTGCCTAGCAATCTACAACTTGTTGTTGCGTTTCGCGCAGTGTTCCGCAGAATGCTGCTGGTTGAAAGTTTTTTCTTCGAGTAAGTTAGTTATAGACATCCAACACCTGCAGGGGAATCCTGCACACAGTGAGGAAAGAAATGGTTGTTGATGGTGCTGCAGCTGCAACAGTAGTAGTGATGATGGTGGCTGCTGCCTGCGGTGGTCCCGTTTCTCCACCGACCTCTTTTGGTTTAGCCTGCCAGGAGTTGTGGGGAGCCGCCCTGAACTGAACTGAAAAGAGGCAATCCTTCATTTTGACGTGTGTGTGTGTGAGAGACCTACACATCAGCATACAAGATGTTCGTTTTCGTGTACAATGGTTGGCTTTTGCAGAACGCCTGATGAATTTTGGACTGGATCTGCAGCAGCATGCTGCAAACTTCTTGCTTTCTTCATCTCCCCCATTAAACCCTAATCCCTAAGCTCTAAGCCATTTACACAAGGTGCCGAGCGCGGCAGTGCCACTAATGATGATGCATTTTTCCGTGGTGAAACTCCACATGCTAGAGACAGGTTGCGCACACTACAGCGGCTGCTACCACCTACTACGACGACCCATGACCCATTAATACTCCCCACAAGACTCGAGACGCTCTAGCGGCTTTTACTACTCGCCACCACCACAACCACGACAACTACTGCTGCGACTACTGCCCACAACAATCATTAATCATGTTGATGAAGGCAACGTCTGTGTCAATTAGAATCCTCAGCCTAACAGCAGTAAAAACCCTGAGACGGAATCCCAGAATCCTCACAAAAGAAAAGGACTGCAGATGAATGGCGCTCTTACATGGAGGGGGCGATTCAATCAGGAGACTTTACTGCGGTTCGGATATATAGGGTTTCTGAGTTCTTCCAAAGGAACTGCGTGTAAGTTTCCACAAGAGCAATAGCACACACGCTTATATGTTCAGGCCCAGCATCACACAAATCACACAAGAGCAATATAGATTTCGACACCTGAGTGCTAAGGGCTCCAAATCGGATTTAGCCTGAGCCTCATGGACAAGGGTAACTATGTGTGCTTCTAGGGTTTCTAGGCTTGTTGCGAAAGATCTTCGAATGCGAAGGTTGTTCAGACACCCTCAGCTTCATGCAATCCCGAGAGGCGCCAAGGCCCTTTAGTTAGGGAGTACACTATACACCGTGGAGAGGCTCTTATTATGCTTCTTACGAGCATGTTGAGTGTCATGTTTGTGATCACGATTTAAAGACGGTTACAGTTTGAAATCTTCCTGAGTCAGGGGCTTGGCTTGGGAGCCCTAAACCCCATACCCTATGCCCTAAACTCTCAAGCCTAAACCCTGAACCCTAAACCCTAAACCCTATACCCTACACCCTAAACCCTATTTCCTAAACCCTAAACCTTAGACCCCAAGCCAAGTAGGGCTTTGGAGCCCCACCCCCCATGGATCTCCCGAAGGCGAACGGTCCGCCAGAGAAATCATCGCCGCGATGACAGCTTCCTGAGTTGCCAGGGAGGGTGGGTTTAGGGTTTTTCAATTCAAGAGTTGTTCGGTTTTAGGGTGTTCTTTGACTTTTCGGTTGAGGGAGGGTTTAGGGTGCGGATGGGGCCTAGGTTTTATGTGATGTTCAGGTGAGGTTGTGGCGAAGTTTTCATGAATGGGCCCCAGGGCATAGTGGTGGGCGGCGAGTAAGAGGCATCACACTCTCAGCGGCACACCCTGTACGTCATAAAATGCCGGGGCCCATTTTTCGAGCAATTTTGTCATTCAGGCGCCTGGGAGCTTGGATTTCGTTCACAGGCTGTCGAAGTAATTATTGGGTCGGAAGAATTACCAATAGTATTCCTTCTGGCTCCTTAGTATAATCAAGTAGAGTATACCCAACAACATTTTTTCAAACTATGAAGGCCCCTACACTATGCACAGACAGCCAGTAAACTTCAATATCCCAGGCCCCGGTGAGGCCTGCAACAGGTGCAGCTTGAGCAGCTCGCCGATGTGGGCGTGCGCGCAGGCTTGTATAGCCTTCTGTGCCAAGACCCGTTACAAGCCGCCACTGCGACGAAAAAGCCTCGTTCACAGGTCAGGGTGTACCGTATCCTCTGTGCGGAATGCTTTCTTGCTTGCTGCTGATATTCAGAATGGTTCGAGGGCACTGCGGTAGCGGGGCTTTTGATAGAGCAGAGAGGAGAAGGGGGAAGCGTGTGGTGTCTAAGCCTGTTATCAGCATGCAAATCCCTAAAGGGAACGCCAGAAAGTTGGAATATGGATTAATGGTAGGATCCCCTATAATTTACCATAGAAGGGTTAGGAGAATCATATTCCAACTTTCTGGCTTTTACCTTAAACCCTGAAATCCCAAACTGCATTTCAGGCTCCAGGCAGTGCTCCGTGAATCTCAGAGTCGGGAGCAGCTGCACTTGATCCGACGGAGAGCAGTTGGCCCCGAATCTTCGACATCCCGTCATCATTATCTTAGAACAGTGTCTATACTATTTTGCATTATATAGTATAGTACATTCTATCATATTTCATTATATAGTACATTGAATTATACAACATGGCGGCGCCTGCGACCTCACCTGACGTGATTGTCATAGGCGCTGGCCTCGCAGGGCTCTCGGCTGCGAGGAGAGGGCGAGACTGCTTGGGGGGGTGCATGGGGCTCGGCAGCTAGGCCTTGGGATGTATTGGGGTTTGGGTTTAGGACTTAGGGCTTAGGGTTTAGGGTTCAGGAAGTTACTTCGGGAACCAGGGCCGAAGAAGTGGCTTTGTCATTCATAGGATATTGCAAGCCACACTATGTGACAGCTGTCCGATCTGTGCCGCGCGGGAGAAGGCCATCGCACAACCAAGCTGCACTTAAACCTCAATCCTAAACCGGAAGCCCCAAACTCCAAGCCCTCAACCTTAAACCCCAAACCCTACATTACGTCTTAAATGTGCACGTCGGAGAACACACATGGGTTCCAGCTCACAGCTGCCTCTGAAATCTCTCCCAGGAGGTTTAGTATACAACTTAGCATTTTCGGCCGTCAGGCTTCGTTACCCAGACCGTTTTAAGTTCGAAATCGGAATTTGGTTGGAGTCTTGCTGCCCTGTTGATCCGACGGTCCATGGGTCCCACTAAAAGGCCAATCCTAAGCCTTGTCCGACCGATACCCCCAGGCGACCTATCGAAGCTCCGTGCGGCTCTAGATCCTTCATTGTCCGCAACGGGGGAAGCCTGAAACATCCCACACGTCCTATCAAGAGTATGATTTAGGGGTTGATGAGGGCTTACGGCTGAAGGTTTTGGCAGCGATGACCTCTTGGGAAACGTGCATGTTGGAATAAAGCTCCTTTCGGTTTAGGGTGAAGATCAAGATAGTTTCTTGGATGTCTACATGGCCCGGACGACTCTCCAGCTCCTGCAAACTGGACAGAATCTATGGAGACAGGATGTGCGTGAAGGTTGCCGCTGCACATGCACTACATATTTTCCTGTAAGGCTATAGACAACCGAAGCCCCCTTCCTTTCCGCATGTACACTGCGTACAAAGCAGCAGAGATTGAGTTTTCGGGTTCGCTGCTGGTTGTCGGGACCCTAAACCCGAAACACCTCAACCCCTAAACCCTAAACCCCTAAACCCCTAAACCCTAAACCCCTAAACCCTGGTTCATCCCGGAAGTCAAGCAGCAGACTCGCTCTCGCACGTCGGAAGAGGTGACTGTTTGGAAATTCGAGGTACATTATTTTGGGGCCTTAATAATAAGGATCCTACTGTTTAGGGTACTATATTGGGTTCCTTTTCGGAAACTCCCATTTGGAGTCCACAGCTACACAGCCCCGTAGAGTCTCAAATTACTGCATCTATGGGAGTTTCTGAAAATTATCGAAGCCTACCATAGATCCGAGATAGCAGCATATCTTCGGTATAAGGACATCCCTTTTCAAACCCGTATGAAAACCTTTCCTAAATCCTAAACCCCCAAAACCCCAAAACCCTAAAACCGAAAAAATCCCCAAACCCCAAACCAACACCTAACCCCCAACCCCAAAAGCTTCTGTCGGAGGAATCTCGCCAAAGGTGGCAAAACCGTCCTCGTCCTTGAAGCTCGGGATCGCGCCGCCTTGAGCAAACTTAGCTTAGCCCTTAGCAATTGTAGGGGCTAAAGATACCTTTAGGCTCCATTGTGGTTCCTTCGTGTGGTTCATATGTAGGATCCAAAAAAGGAACTACAATGGAGCTTATTTCTAGGTGACCAGATGCAAATTTGGGGCCTGCATTAAAAAGACACGCCTCCCTGACGAACTTTAGGGTTTAGCACTTAGCAACGCAGTGCTAGTAGGGCTCAAGGGTTCAAGTGTTTAGGGAGTTCAGGGTGATACGATATGGGTCAAGAGCAGCAAACCCTACTACAGTCGCATTTCTTTTCTTCGAATTCGGTGTCTTACGGCCCTACGGCCGTGACCACCTAAACCCCCAGACCCTGGCCCTTGTAAGCCTAAACCCTCCACCCTCAACCCTAAACCCTGAAGGGCCCTGAACCCGCAACTCTACTGAGTTGCGGACAGTCCACAGCACATGATACTGGAATACCACAGAATCGGGACCCCATAGTAGGACCCCATAGTAGGATCCTTTTGAAAGGACCCCGAGGCAAGGTACCTCTCCTGTTCAAGCATGTACAGGTGCCCCCCTCGCCTCCCCCCCCACCAGCCGACCCCGGAGTCCCGCGGCGAAACCCGACTGTTCAAAAGCATGACGCTGTTCGACGCAGGGTGTTGCGGCTGGGGGGGGGATGAGGTTTTAGGGATTAGTAGGGTCATGTCTTGAGTTTTTGGGTGCATATGTTTGTGTGTGTGCGCAGCTACATATGTGCAAGCGCTGCAATCGTATACTTTTCAAGAGAAGCGACCAGCTGTGTGACTCTCACGGCGCAGCCGCATGTGCCCAGAACTACTGGGACGGACATGTATATGTGACTTGTTTCCTTCCCTGAGCCCTAAACCCTGTTAGTGCTCAAACAAACCCTTCTCGAATCCTACATTATTCGAGGAACCCCTACAATAGTGCTCTCTCTGGATGAGGACTCCATCCTCGGGTCAACTGCAACAACTTCCAAGCTCTTGAACTCGCGCCTCAGACCCGATGCCCCCAGACCCGCGCCCACCACAGTCCCTAAACGCAGTAAAGGCTCCAGGACTCCAGGCTGCAGCCTGCTAAACGTTAAATCCCAACCTAAACCCCAGAGTTTTCAAGGCAAGAACGGCTTAAAGACTTAGAGTCCTGAAGCCCGAAACCGTCTGACCCTCAATCCCTGAACTCTAGAGGTTTCAGGGTTCCGTTTCTAGGGTTCCTTCAACAGGGACACTTCGAAGTTCCGCATGTTTCGCCAACCCCCAAAAAACCAGTAAAAACTCCCCAAACCCTTAAACCCCCTAAACCCTAAACCCTATTTCCTCAACCCTAAACCCTAAACCCCATATCCCGTAATGCCCATAAGCCCGATAAAACCTAGAAGCCCTATAAAGCCTATATTTTGTCAACCCCGGCTAAGCTTCGGCCCAGGTCGGCGGCCGGACGCACTCCGTGACCGAGGGCATCTGATGCTGCAAAGATTCACTTTGTCATAGTTGGGTAGCATTTTACATGTTCATGGGTACTTAAACCCAATAAGGAATAACAATTTAAATCTTTTATCCTCTGCCAACCATGAACTAGTTCAGAGAACGCGGGCAGCCCCTCCTGGGATTCAGGGTTTTCGGGATGTTTGGGGTTTCGGGGTAGGGGTTTAGGATTTGGGATTCAAGGTCCGTCTAACACCCGCTATAACAAACCCTAGAATGAACCCTAAGCAACAAAACATATCAATCTCAGTAAAGCCTTATATGAAGCCCGACTCACAGGTCCCTATACCATCGACCTGGGCGCGCAGTTCATAGCCGACAAGCAGCGCCGGATTTCAGCCCTGGTCGACGAGCTACGAGTCTGACAATGATTTCAGGGTTCAGGGTTTGGGTAGGATTCTGCTTGGCTATTTTGGAGAAGTTGAAAACCCAGGGGACCCCTACTTCTGTCTGATAAACGCTGATAGCAGAATTTCAAGACTGTGTCACTGCTGCACCAGGCGTGCATCGACATGAATCCACAATTTCACGGTGTGCTGTAGGATCCAGGTCTCTGCTTGTCTTTCACATTTCTTTCACGATGCCTGGGCTGGTCGCACTTGCGAGGACCATCACTTGATCCGTTAGAGCGCACGCTGGGGCCTATTTGAGGCTACCAGGAGGGTCCTGGAACTCATAAAACCTCCTGACCTAAACCCTTAACCCAAACCCCTAAACCCCCTAAACCCTAAACCCGAATCCCAAAACCGCAAAACCCTGAAGCACTCAAAAGGGGTTCTCATGCTAGGGACCTTCTATGAAATTCGGAGCTGGAGTCCCTTCCTTAACCTATCGGGTTTAGGGTTTTATAGGGTATATAGGGTTGAAGGTTGATAGGGTTGAGCGTTTATAGGGTTTAGGGTTTATAGGGTTTAGTGGGCTCATAGGTTTTAAGGTTTAGGGTTATAGGGTTTATAGGGTGTACAGGGTTTGTCAGGGTTTTAAGGGTTTAGGGTCCGGGGTTCGTACGCTCTTAGCAACAACCCTGGCATTTGCAGGTTTTGGGGGTTCAGGTTTTGAGTTGCGGAGTCTGCGGTGCAGCCTAGAGTCCTTCCGAAGTATTTTGGTGTCCTACGAACACTGTAGTTTTTTGGCAAGACAAAAGGCTCAGGAAGCGCCATCGTCTCGAAATGTCTCGAAGAGCCCACCAGCTCCGGATGCAAGGTTCGGCATCACCCGCGTGGAGCTGGATGCCGAAGGCATGGGCTTGTTAGGGTTTTGGGGTGTAGGGTTTAGGGTCTCAACTCGCTTGTTTTTGTTTGAGCTTTCTGCTTTGTTGGGTCATGGGTTGCCTTTATCAACATGTGCTCTCTTGCTTCGGTGCGGACCCCTAGATAGGATGTGACGTCCACAAAGCTCTTCGCCGGAAGCCTTTCCAAGGAAAACATGCCCCTGGCATCAAAATGAGTGCATTCCATGCACCATCTAGAAATCCACATCTCCAACGGGACGCAGGTCTGACAGCAAAGCAAAAACATCTGACGTCCCGCACCCTATGAAGTTTCTCATTCAGTTTCCACCCGCGCAAGAGCTAGAAATTATTTTTCTGTGCACTTGTCTGAATCCGAAATCCCACGCAAACCACCGGAACCTGTACAACCCTTCGAAACGTGTTGCTCTCAGGCCATGAAACGACTTCCGATACTTAGGCTGCGCGACCTATCGCATACCCGAGGTTAATACGTTAATCCGACACGTAGATTCGCATACCGCCAGCTGCAAAGTTGTAAGACACACCTTATGCTCGGAGCTTAGTCTAGAGTCTAGCGCAGTCTCTCTCTCTCTCTCTCTCTCTCTCTCTCTCTCTCTCTCTCTGTCGATATATATATATATATATATATACATTAATAATACTAATATATTAATCATATCCAGATTTGGGAATCGACTGTACGGACACTGTATCCTTCGTCTGGTGTGGAGTATATACCAGGCCCATGTGGGAGCATGCGTATAAGTTTCCTCAAAGTATGAACACACAAAGACCTTAAACCTCAAACCCCACAGCCTCAAAGCCCTTGTACCAAAGATCCAGCAACCTTATAGGAAACTCCAGAAAGTTGGAATATGGTTTCATGGTAGGATACCTACCCTATAATTTACCATAGAAGGGTTAGGATAATCATATTCCAACTTTCTGGCTTTTGCCTTAAAGTCCTAAGCCGGAGCAGGTCTCGTCTCGACAGGTTAAAGCCCAAACCCTGAAACCCCTAAAGCCCTAGCTCCAAATGCCCTAGAGCCCTCAACGAAAGCTTTCCTTGCACAGCAGGCACAACTCCTAAACCCTAAATCCTAAACCCCTTAGCCAGAACCCCAAACCCCACAGCCCTGACACAGAACACGCCTGGCTCCGAAAGGCAAAACACTCCACCGCGATGGGCCCGGCTCGAAGGTGAAGCGGGTGTCGGAAGACTACTTACCCCTGCCTTCAGGCTGCAGTTTTAGCGAGACGACAGTGTGCAATGACTTGCCTTTTTATCCGGCAGGATAGAAGGGCAGCGTGGATAATAACCTACCGCTTTCGCAGGACATTACGGAAGGAAGCCATAATAGCCTACATATTTGGGGACCTTATGGATGGAGATCCAAATGGGAATCCTTTAAGAAGATGCAAGAGGTCGGGCTTAGAGCGCAGGGACTAGGGCTTCGGGTTTATGGGTTTAGGGTTTTAGGCTGGAAGATTCGGTCTTACAAATCCTCAGGGTTCCTCATGTCAAAGTAGCTCGAAAGAACACACTCTCAGAGCCTGTAAGGTCCGCAACTTAGGAAACTGCTGGGTTTTTAAGTGATTCTTCGTGAAAACATCGCAGAGCCACGGACATTAAAACGCGAGCCTGAAGCAAGCGCCTGAGGGTTTGCATCCACGAGCGAACGGCCCAACAGTTAAAACATGCGTGATACCCAGAGAGCCCAATACCCCTTAATTAAGGAAGATGGCTTAAATTATTTAGGGCTTCATATTAAGATTTAAGCTATATCCTTTAATTAAGGGGTATTGGGCTCTCTGGGTACAGCAGGCTGGACATCCTCACATCCTGAACCCAAAAGCTCGGCTTAGGGTTTCGGGTACAAGGTCCGAGCACGGAGCTAGAAAAGCCTCGAAGCCCGAAGCCCTACACCCTAATCCCCTTTGGACCCTGAACACGAATGCCTTATCAACCCAAAATTTCTAGAAAATCCCTAATCCCTAGAATACCTCATCCCTTAAGCCGCAAATTCACAGGTCCTGTCTTGGCCAGTTGGATGCACTTCAGTCGATCTTGCGGGTGGAGAGCAAAGTCAAGGCGAGGATAGATTCAGCCGGGGCTTAGGGTTCTATAACAGCCCATACATAATGCAAAGTTGTTCATGGTTCTATCTAACTGTCTACTGGGCTTTGGAGTACCATACTTTAATACTTTTTTCTTAAGGAACCCTTATGAAATAAAAGTGTATACTTTTTTCTCCTTGGTTACTTAAAAGCAAAAGTTTACCTGTCTATTATCTACCTCTCTATCTATCTATCTATCTATCTATCTATCTATCTCTCTCTCTCTCTCTCTCTCTCTCTCTCTCTCTCTCTCTCTCTCTCTCCATCCATCTATCTATTTGGCCTAAACTTTTCGGTTTCTCTGCGGCTGAGGGTTCATCAACCCTAAACCATGCAGTTTCGGAGCTAGTTCTGTCTGCGGGAGCTCGGTGGTGCGTTGGAACCTTAGATCCATCCTTGTTCCGCTTGCTTCACCCGCCCTGCGTGGAGGCCCTCTCAGATGCGAGACTTGCTTGAAATTCATGGGCCTCCGAAGGGTTATTTACCGCTCCAGTTTCCTAAATATGGACGAGGTAATGCAGTGAATCTTTGGGAAGGTTTAGGGTTTGGGGCTTAAGGTGTGGGGATTTTAGGGTTTACAGTTTACATTTGACGGTCGCCGCTGCAAGGCGATTGCAAAGCTGGGCACGACTCCGCGATGCGGGAATCATCTTCGGTTCGCTGCATATGCACCCAAAGAAGAAGGTTGTGCAGTTTTAGTCTCTGAGTAAGTAGCAGCAATATTCCCTTCTAGCCCATCAAGACGAAAAGCATAATTACCCCCAAATCCCCACTCTGATCGTTGCTGTAAGGCCCCTGAAATCGCCAGAACAGTTGTGTCGTAAGCTTTAGGGTTTAGGGGTTTAGGGTTTTCTATCCCCGAAGCTTGCTGAATGAGGGACCTTGAGAAGCTGGACGGCATCAGCTTCACTGAGTACATGCGTTGCTTGGACGCAGTAAGTCTAGGGGCCTAGCTAGTTGCCAATATGCTATTGCAAGGGGTTCCCTATTATGATTATTGTATTATATACCCCAAGGCCTTATTCTTTTTCTTGCCCCGATCTTAGATTCACGCGCCAGGGAGCTAAGACAGTCCAGTCGGTGATCAGGAGCTCTTTCCTGAACTGGTAGGCCACGCGCCATGCTTTGTGTACACGGTTTAGGGTTGAGGCTGTCAAAATTATGGCCCCGCCGTATAATATTAAGGACCCCAAAAGGGACCATAACTTTGACAACTACCCATATGTCTCATCTCTCTTTAAACGAATCTTTCGTGAGAGGTCCTAAGGTTGCTTTATCGACTGCACGAATGTCGGCTTGCCGGCATGTCAAGCGATTCGGTTCTAAGTGCAGCATATATATATATATACACATATATATTACATAGGTATATCATGGGGCCTTAATAGTCAGAATAGGGTTTTGGGGTAGAGAAGACATACGTCTGGGGCGAGCAGCTCTTCAGATGACTTGTGAAATGCAGGAAACGGCAAGCTACGCTTTGAACTAAGCAGGCAACTGAGCTTAGTGATTGGTGATAAGTATCGAATCATACTTCAACGGCCAAGTGTCTAGCAACTGCACAGGAATTCACGCGGATGTGTTTTTGTATGTATGTATATATGTGTGTGTATATATCTATAGAAATATGAGAGAGAGAGAGAGAGAGAGAGAGAGAGAGAGAGAGAGAGAGAGATACCTCTAGGGTCGGTTTAGCAATCTAATGTTTTCTTGCTGCATCTCTACCTTTTGAACAACATCGGCAGATTTTGTCTGTTTTATTAGATGAAAATCACAGAAAATATGTCCTTTGATGATTCCCGGAGGAATTCCTTCCTACTTTAGATGTAGTAAATACTCGCTGTTTAGGGTATATAGGGTTCAGGGCAAGGTTCCTACCATTCTTTGGAGTCTTCTGCTTGGGATTCTACTGCGTGTCTATACTTGTTAACTCCGTACCTTTGGTTAGTAGGGAATGGAAGAATGGTAGCAAAAGTAGTAATAATTGCACCCCATTCCTTCATTCCCTATTAACCAAAGGTAAGACTCTCGTTTCTGCAACTCCCAGGTCAGAAGACTTTCTTACAGTCTTCGCGGTCAGCGATATCGCTCATGGCCCAATCAGAGCTATGCGTCCCCGGCCAGCACTTGAGGCCATGGGTGAGATTACAGCTTCATGCCAAATAAGCTTCTAGAGCCCGTAATGACATAATTGCTTGAACCATCCGCCTGAAGTCCCTTAAAGAGGCAAAAGCAATCCACAAAGTATACCTCCAGGCAGAGGAGGTGCACCCGCAGAAAGCGTGTCGAATGCAGTAAGGCGGATGAACCCCAGCCCAAAATCGCTCGGTCACCAAGGTAATAGCTCCGACAGCTGGGTTGACTGCTTTCTGATTATCACCATTCGCACCATTATTGCGCTTACTGTCAGCAGTATGCTTGCTGCGATCAACATAATTACTCGTGATGGCTTTTATCCATTGCAGCACTGTTGCGACTGCTGTCATTGTCATTGCTATTCCGCTTCACCGCTGTCCTTATGACCTTCTGAACCTTCTTATGTCGAATGTTACTGTTGTCAGTCTCGCGGGGAGGGCCGCAGTTTTATGCATCTGGGTGTCGATACACGATGCCAGCTGGGCAATGCGCAGACGCCCTACTGGGCCCCCAAGATCCGAGGCATCACAGCTGTCGATGAAGCATGGGGAAACCGCCACATACGCACGTCATTTCCTAGAGTCTAGTTTGAGGACCTGCGGGGGCTATTAGGAAGATTGTCTGTTTGTTTACGATGGTTACAACAGGCTCTACCTTGAGGCATCTAAATTTCTATGAGTTGTAACACAAAAAGCCTTTCTATTGAGGTTCCTGTTTGCTCCCCAAACCTTCAAAACACGCCGCACAGCAACCAGAGCACAGATGTCCCGAATGCGTTTTGGAATCAAAGAAAATATCGATGTGAGGTATGTATCATGTATGCATGCATGTATACATGTATGCATGTAAGTCTGCATACACGTACCCATGATCTTATCATCTACCATGGAGCATTCATGTTAGAATCCATCGAACAGTACGAGTTAGTTTTGTACGAAGTGTACCAGTTTTACAGAGGCTATATATGTATACATGTATATGAGGACAGTTTTACATGCATCAACACATCTCTAACGAGCAACCCTTCGCGAGCGCTTTTCGGGGCAAACCTTTGACACCTCTCCAGAGCTCTGAAAATCAACTCTAAACCCTAAGCGAAATTCGATATCCGACGCTAACCAGGGTCAAGGCCTACGGGAGCATTGACACATCTCGCCAAGATTTTAGAAAGCCCATCGATGACCTGCAAACTCCCTAAACCCTCCCGAAAGCCTACCCTACACCCCCCAAAGTAGGTAGAATGATGGCCCAAAACCTGTGAACGGCTGCTATTCTACATACCTTTGGGGTCCAAGTACACCCTAAACCCTCACGACTAGAGGTTACCACCGACGAAATCTCTGCCTTCGACTGTCTTCAGCAGCTGAAAACCATGGGCGGAATGCAGGTAGAGGCCGAGGAGCCCCTTCGGCCGCAGATGAGAAAAGAGTGGTAATCTACTATTTGCTTAAGAAACACCCACAAAATAAAAATAACAATCCCTATATTACCCCATAAGGAATATATTTTTTATTTTTTTGGGGGTTCTTAAGCAAATAGTGGTAATATAGGGGCCTTATCGGGATACATTGCAGTATAGTTCTTAGGGTTCAGGGCAGGTTTAAGGGGCTTTAGTAGTGTTTTGGGGTTTAGGGTCTAGGGGTTTAAGGGTTCAGGGTTTAGGGGGTTTGGGGTTTAGGTATTTCAGGGTTTAAGGGCTTAGGTAACGTTTAGGGCGTAGGGTTTAGGGTTTCGGGGGATGTTTACGGTTTGGGGTTTAGTTTTAACGGCCTAGGGAGGTTTAAGGATTTTTAGGGTTTAGGGATTTCTGGGTTTATAGAGTTTCTGTATGGTTTTAAAGGGGTGTTTCGAGGGTTGTATCCAAGACCGACTTCTAATGGATTCTACAAGGTTTTAGACGGGTTTTCAGCGTCTCATAGGTTTTTGTTCTGGGGTTTTCTGGAGTTTTATAATTGGGTGTTCTATGAGGTTTGTAAGAGTCCATAAGGTTCTTGAAGAACAAGTCTAGGCCGCCTCACTTCTTGCGAAAACGCCATTCTTTCTACCTGGGAGTGTGGGCTACTACGGGGCTCTACCATAGAGTCCAAGGTGCAGGGTCCGTAGACCCTCAACTAAACTCAAGCCCTTAAACCCTGAATCCTTAAACACCCTAAACCCCTAACCCGAAATGCCAAACCGCTGCACCGTAATTTCTGAAGCCGCTTCGACCCCAGCACCAGACCGTCTCTCGCGCTTCTGCACGATCTGGGCAGTTCTCTAAGTTAGGGTCCCTTGTGAAATCCTTTGTATAAGAGTGCCGTAATGTATAAGGGGACCCCAAAAGAGACCCTGATTTAGAGAACAACCCCATCTGAAACACGTTTAGGATTGAGGATAGTTTAAAGGGTCAAGGATGCATCCCTTGATACTGTTCGTCTACAGGGCACTTGTATTCATCAGTAGTATCAGTACCTTATTACTAGACTTGTCACTTGTAGTATCCTATCTATTGTTGTGGCTATCATTGCTGATGCTGTTGCTCTTACTACTGCTACAAAGAGGGTTGTTCATGTCTGTGGGTCGGCATGATCACTCTTGCTAAGTTTACCTTGGTATTACATTTTACATTCTCTGCTTGCGCAATCGTTATCGGCATTAACATTCTGGTTTGATGTAGCCCAGTACTGTTCCTTAGAGTTCCTCACGTAATATACTTTTCGCCTCCATGTTATGCTGCCCCGGCCATACTATGAACGACCCGTGCGGAGGTACTACATGAAAGAGGGCAGTCAGGTGCTGGAGGGGCTTTGGCGATGCTTTTGCGGAGTTACGGGTCGTGACTGTCAAGGTGGACCTCGGTGATTGCTGAACATCAGTCTTCTGCAGCATGGATTCCAAGATTAAGGCCATAAAGGAAGATTTATTCGGTCATTGGTGCCCTCGTAGTAGTAGGCTAGCTGCAGTTGCGTCGATATGCCATGATTTTTTTGTGACACCAGTGCCCAGTGGTCTTGTGATGATGCACATTTCACTTATGCCGACCGCTATGACATGAAACGTGCCTCTGATCGCTTTCGGTCCTCTTTGCCAGTACGAGCGACTAAGAAGATGCCATGCTAATGCAGATGACGAACAACCATCATCATCATCATCATCATCATCATCCCCATCAACATCATCCTCATTAACACCCTTCTTTCACTCTCACTTGAGCGCCTCTCACGGTTTGCATCGCGGCTTGATTCCTTCCTTGTCATGATGGCTGCTGTGTTTCACTTGTAGTGTTTGTGCTGTCAATGCTTCTTCTGGGATAGTAGAAAGATCCGTGTTTATTTCAATGGCCGGAAAGTAACGGGACCCTTGACGCGGCGGGCATTAAACCACCAACATCCCCAAACCCCAAACTCTTAATACTTGGTGGGCCCAACATTCTGCTTCTACTATAGGGGCCTAAATAATTGCCATTACTATAATGGGCCCCATAAATAAAGACGGCCATAAAGATAGTATAGCGGGGCCAGTATTTCTACAACAGTGGAGCTTGAACTTCCGGCCTCTCGAAATTGCGTTTGCAAGGAACATAGAGGCCTTCATAATTAGAATAGGGTCCTGGGCTATATTATACCATTATCATAATATGGACACCCCCCCTCCCCCAAATAGCATTAGTAATTATTTCGGCCCCTAGCTGTATTGAACCCGAAACCCTAAACCGCCTCCAAGCCTGGCACAGAAACACAGAAACCCCACTGAGGCGATCCAAGGGCTGCGAGGGTAAAGGACGAGAGGGGGTTTGGAGTTTTGGGGTTTGGGATCTACACGGTTTAGGGTTTAGGGTACATATTTGAAGCTGCCCCCACCCTGTAATAGTGACTATAAGGATTATATTAGGGCCATATTATGTTCCTGTTCTATTACAGGGTGGGGGCAGCTTCTAATCTATATAGGTCTAATACCTGAAGTCAGTCTGTCTGGAAGGAACATGCCGGCGATCATAATCATAAACATTGCTACGGCTATCATCACCACCATCAGCAAAAGGGTAGTAACGATAGCACCAACAGTAGGAATATCCAGTCGTGACAACAATCACAGGCCATGATACAGGTACCACAGTTAGTCCTTCCCTGCTGCGAGTCGATCGCAAAGCGGATGGCCGCAGACCTGGGCGATGCGGTCATGCTGTCCTCTCCAGCACCCTTGCGTTGTTTGGGGGTCTTGGGTGTAGGGTTAGGCTAGGGTTCAGGGTTTAAGGTTTAGGACTCAGCCTAACCCTACCATGAATCCAGAAGCTTAGCTCCTGGCTTGGCAAAGTTTAGTCGACGCCAAGTTGCAATTCTGACGGTTACTGTGTTGGTCTTGGTGCTGGGGCTGAAGATGGTTCTGATGATTCTGATGAGGGTGAGGAGGAGGAGGATGACAATGCATAGACGACCATGCTCGCGTTAATGACCATGGTAATGATAAGCTCGCGCGATTCGGGCTGCTTCCTTCCTGTACGCCAACAAGATTCTATTGTTCCATTCCTCAGCAACCAGATGCTGGGACGCTTGTACATACCTGATGAGAGAATACCGCGTCTCCTGGTTCCAACTCCATCTGTAACTTAAAGCATCATCGCAAGTTAGAAGCAATCTCAACAGCGCGATTGTGTCAGCAGAGTCTTCTCGGCTTCACAGCTTTCTATTCGCCAGCAGTCCAGGTATCTGCAATCGACCTCTCCGGTGAGTCCATTAAGGTGACGGCCAAAGATGTGACGTACAGCTCCAAGTGAGCCGTGTGCTTACCTTGGGTTAGTAGGGAATCATTCTCCTCCATTCCTTACTAACCAAAGGTAATTGTGTGCAGAGAAGGAGCTCATGAGCTGTAGCTGCGGTTCTAGCTAGCTGGGATGCACAGTCTCTGAATCTCTTGGAGTTGCAGTTCATCTGATGAAGAAACGGCCAGAAGATAATGCTGAAATACAGAGCTGCTCGTACTCTGCGGAAAGTACTGTGAAGTTACATGTTTTTCACTGATAGCTAAACCTCAGCCGCAGGTACGTCGTCGTTGCTGTGCCCCCGCAGCTATATGCTACTTGGTCGTTTGCAGTTGTCTGGTTGTCTTGAACTGGATAGATACCGGTATTTGGGAATAAGGGGATGGATATTTGGGTAGGTGGGGTGGGTGGATTGATTTTCTATGAGGTGGACTTTGCCTATTTTCGGGTGGTAGATCAGGCTGTGGATCAATGGTTGCTGATGGGGGGCAAGTGTGCGGGTTTTGGTGGAAAAGGTTGTGGAACAGTGCTTTCGGGGCACAGTTCTTAAAGGGCTGGTGAAGAAGGTTGCAAAATCTGTTGAGTTTTTGAGGGGAAAATGGTGCGATTTTGGGGTGCAAGGGCTGTTGGTGTGCTCGTTGAAAAATTGGATGCTGAAGATTCGGACGCTTGGGGGCAAGTGGTTGGCCGGTTGAAAATGCCAAAAAAGAGATGCTCGGCTGCTCGAACAGTTGGAAAAAAGGTGGAAAATTGACGGTATGCTCGTTGAGAAAATATTTGGTGATCCGGGAATGTGGGGGATGAAGTGGTATGCTGTTGGAGAAAGTACTTGGGGAAAATGACTGGAAATGGGGTTTTGCTGTGTGCGGGGGTATATGTGCTGTGCCAATAGCCTAAATAGGCAAGGTATACTCTAACTTAACATAGGGGCTTGGGACATGATTTGTAGTAGTGTGACTGTTGTCATTGTTCCCCACATCAATGTGTGGGGTTCTTACTTTTTGGGGCTGTCCCGCCTCCTCCTCCTCCTCCTCCTTCACCTCCTTCCTCCTCCTCTTCCTCCTCACTCCTCCTCCTCACTTCATGACGCAGACACACACACAAACACACATACACACTTCCTGGCCTCACACACGACTAAAGACCCTCCCGGGCTGCTCTGGCCAAGGCCGCGCGCGCCTTGGGGCGAGACTCTTCCGCGACTAAAGACCCTCCCGGGCCTGCTCTGGCCAAGGCCGCGTGCGCCTTGGGGCGAGACTCTTCCGCGACTAAAGACCCTCCCGGGCCTGCTCTGGCCAAGGCCGCGCGCGCCTTGGGGCGAGACTCTTCCGCGACTAAAGACCCTCCCCGGCCTGCTCTGGCCAAGGCCGCGCGCGCCTTGGGGCGAGACTCTTCCGCGACTAAAGATCCTCCCGGGCCTGCTCTGGCCAAGGCCGCGCGCGCCTTGGGGCGAGACTCTTCCGCGACTAAAGACCCTCCCGGGCCTGCTCTGGCCAAGGCCGCGCGCGCCTTGGGGCGAGACTCTTCCGCGACTAAAGACCCTCCCGGGCCTGCTCTGGCCAAGGCCGCGCGCGCCTTGGGGCGAGACTCTTCCGCGACTAAAGACCCTCCCGGGCCTGCTCTGGCCAAGGCCGCGCGCGCCTTGGGGCGAGACTCTTCCGCGACTAAAGACCCTCCCGGACCCTCCCGGCCTGCTCTGGCCAAGGCCGCGCGCGCCTTGGGGCGAGACTCTTCCGCGACTAAAGACCCTCCCGGGCCTGCTCTGGCCAAGGCCGCGCGCGCCTTGGGGCGAGACTCTTCCGCGACTAAAGATCCTCCCGGGCCTGCTCTGGCCAAGGCCGCGCGCGCCTTGGGGCGAGACTCTTCCGCGACTAAAGATCCTCCCGGGCCTGCTCTGGCCAAGGCCGCGCGCGCCTTGGGGCGAGACTCTTCCGCGACTAAAGATCCTCCCGGGCCAAGGCCGCGCGCGCCTTGGGGCGAGGCGACTAAAGACCCTCCCGGGCCAAGGCCGCACGCGCCTTGGGGCGAGACTCTTCCGCGACTAAAGACCCTCCCGGGCCTGCTCTGGCCAAGGCCGCGCGCGCCTTGGGGCGAGACTCTTCCGCGACTAAAGACCCTCCCCGGCCTGCTCTGGCCAAGGCGTGCGCGCCTTGGGGCGAGACTCTTCCGCGACTAAAGACCCTCCCGGGCCTGCTCTGGCCAAGGCCGCGCGTGCCTTGGGGCGAGACTCTTCCGCGACTAAAGATCCTCCCCGGCCTGCTCTGGCCAAGGCCGCGCGCGCCTTGGGGCGAGACTCTTCCGCGACTAAAGATCCTCCCCGGGCCTGCTCTGGCCAAGGCCGCGCGCGCCTTGGGGCGAGACTCTTCCGCGACTAAAGATCCTCCCCGGCCTGCTCTGGCCAAGGCCGCGCGCGCCTTGGGGCGAGACTTTTCCGCGACTAAAGACCCTCCCGGGCCTGCTCTGGCCAAGGCCGCGCGCGCCTTGGGGCGAGACTCTTCCGCGACTAAAGATCCTCCCCGGCCTGCTCTGGCCAAGGCCGCGCGCGCCTTGGGGCGAGACTCTTCCGCGACTAAAGACCCTCCTCTGGCCAAGGCCGCGCGCGCCTTGGGGCGAGACTCTTCCGCGACTAAAGACCCTCCCCGGCCTGCTCTGGCCAAGGCCGCGCGCGCCTTGGGGCGAGACTCTTCCGCGACTAAAGACTCTTCCGCGACGGGCCTGCTCTGGCCAAGGCCGCGCGCGCCTTGGGGCGAGACTCTTCCGCGACTAAAGACCTTCCCGGGCCTGCTCTGGCCAAGGCCGCGCGCGCCTTGGGGCGAGACTCTTCCGCGACTAAAGACCCTCCCGGGCCTGCTCTGGCCAAGGCCGCGCGCGCCTTGGGGCGAGACTCTTCCGCGACTAAAGACCCTCCCGGGCCTGCTCTGGCCAAGGCCGCGCGCGCCTTGGGGCGAGACTCTTCCGCGACTAAAGACCTCCCGGGCCTGCTCTGGCCAAGGCCGCGCGCGCCTTGGGGCGAGACTCTTCCGCGACTAAAGACCTTCCCGGGCCTGCTCTGGCCAAGGCCGCGCGCGCCTTGGGGCGAGACTACCCTAACCATCGCACGCTTGAAAAAACACTGGATTTCGCTTGAAAATACCAATCGATTCTGCTGCGCTTGAAAATACCATGTGCGCTTGGCATTTTCTATCGGCCCCGCTAGGAATCGGTTGGGATGCTATTTTCTCCGCTAGGTTCTCCGCTAGGTTTTTATCATCGATTCCGCAAGGTTTTTCATCAACGATTTCGCTTGGTTTCCCGTGCCCAGCACACCAAAAACATCGAGCCCAACCCGGAATTCTGAAGCACACAGGTCTTCACAGGTTTTCACAGAATTTCACAGGTTTTCACAGAATTTCACAGATCTTCACAGATTAGTCTGTGAAGATCTGTGAAGATCTGTGAAATTCTGTGAAGATCTGTGAAATTCTGTGAAGATCTGTGAAAACCTGTGAAGATCTGTGAAAACCTGTGAAGATCTGTGAAAACCTGTGAAACCAGAAATCGCAGGCTTCAAGCCCGGTCAAACACCCGTGCTCCTGAATGCTCCGCTTGGTTTTTGCTATATGCTGCTATTGATTCCCCGCCAGGTTTTTGTTTCGCTTGGTTTTCACAGAAAACTAGTGGATCCGCTTGAAAATATCAATCGGACCCAATCCGCTTGAAACTACCAATCGAATCCGTTTTTTTCTGTCGGCCGATGGATAGGGTATTCTTCGACTAAAGACCCTCCCGGGCCTGCTCTGGCCAAGGCCGCGCGCGCCTTGGGGCGAGACTCTTCCGCGACTAAAGACCCTCCCCGGCCTGCTCTGGCCAAGGCCGCGCGCGCAGACACACACAGACACACAACAGACACACACAGACACACACAGACACACACAGCCACACACACAGACACACACACACACACACACACACACAGACAGACACACACACACACACACACACACACACCAGACACACACACTGAGACACACACACAGAGAGACACACACACACAGAGACACACACAGACACACACAGACACACACAGTCACACAGACACACACAGACACACAGACACACACCGACACACACAGACACACCGACACACACCGACACACACCGACACACACAGACACACACAGACACACACAGACACACACAGACACACGCACAGACACACGCACAGACACACACAGAAACACACACACACACACACAGGACACACACAGACACACAGAGACACACACACAGACACACACAGGACACACACAGACACACAGAGACACACACACACACACAGACACACACAGACACACACAGACACACACAGACACAGACAGACACACACAGACACACAGACACGCAGACTCGCAGACACGCAGACACGCAGACACGCAGACACACAGACACAAAGACACACAGACACACAGACACGCAGACACACAGACACGCAGACACACAGACACAAAGACACAAAGACACACAGACACACACACACACACAGACAGACACACACACAGACACACACACAGACACACACACAGACACACACAGGACACACACAGACACACACAGAGACACACACACACACAGACACACACAGACACACACAGACACAGACAGACACACACAGACACACAGACACGCAGACTCGCAGACACACACCGACAGACACACAGACACACACCGACACACACCGACACACACCGACACACACAGACACACACACAGACACACACAGACTCACACAGGACACACACAGACACACACACAGACACACACAGACTCACACAGACACACACAGACACACACAGGCACAGACACACACAGGACACACACAGACACACAGAGACACACACACACACACATAGACACACACAGGACACACACAGACACACAGAGACACACACACACACACAGACACACACAGACACACACACAGACACAGACAGACACACACAGACACACAGACACGCAGACTCGCAGACACGCAGACACGCAGACACGCAGACACGCAGACATACAGACACGAAGACACACAGACACACAGACACGCAGACACACAGACACACAGACACACAGACACAAAGACACAAAGACACACAGACACGCAGACACCCAGACACCCAGACACACAGACACACAGACACACACACACAGACACACAGACACTCAGACACCCAGACACACACTCACACACTCACACACTCACACACTCACACACTCACACACTCACACACTCACACACTCACACACTCACACACTCACACACTCACACTCACACACCCACACACACACACTCACACACACACACACACACACTCTCTCTCTACACTCGCACACCACACATGCACACATCATACACCGTACACCCACGTACGCACTCACAGCAGCACTCACTCATTCGTTCACTCACACACTCATTTACTCCCTCACTCATTTACTCTTCTGCACCTTTGTGTTCTATACGAATGGATGATCTTCACATGTGGGGTTATCCGGTCCTTTAATTATTGATATTAGTATTACTGTTGTTGTTGAGATGACTACGGCAATTGCAACTCCCGCGACCCCCAGTCCAAGTGTTTGGGGAAGTAGGCTGCTCTGGTCGTCCAATATCCTTCAAGCCCATTGAAGCCACATGGGTAGTTCTCTAGAATAGGGTCCTTTTTAATAAGGGTGCTGTACGATATTGGGGACCTTAAACGGGACCCTAAATTAGAGAACTACCCATATGAACTGGGCCCTAAAGTTTCAGGTTTAAGGTTTGGGGATGTTTGGGGGTTAGTTAGGCTTAGGGGTTCTATCAACTTCTAAAATGGACCCTGCCAGGCCCTGAAAGTACCTTGTTCCGTAAAGCCCTGCAAGTACACGATAAGGAAGCCATATTGTCTACTATAGATCCCCATTCTGATGACTTAAATATCCCTTCAACTTATATATATATATATATATATATACATATATATATATATATATATATAGATTAAATACCCCCCTGAGTTCATACAGACCCGAAGCAGTTGCCCTCCAAGGCTAGCATAGGTTTGCTGCCGGTGCTGCCGCCACATCGGCAGAGCGCACTGGAAGGGTATTGTTCCCAGCTCTCGGATTCGGGGCTTGTAGGATTTAACTCGGATTTATACAGGGGTTTAGGGCTGAGGGTTTTTTGGTTCAAAGGCTTACGGCTCTGGAGATCAGGATAAGCGCTCTGTTTCATAGACTTTCGGGGGCTTAGGGCTCATTAAACCATAAGCCCTCAACCCTAAGCCCTACCTGTAGCCGAAAAGATCTACCTTTTTAAGGAACTATATATAGAAACCATAATAAGGAACCCTAAAAAAGGTAGGCCCTGTCGGCTACAGGTAAGCCTTCAACCCGAAGCCCTAAACTCCAAACTGTCTCGAAGTCGGAGCATTCTCGTGCACCTGAGGCCAGATTTCGGACCAGGAGTTCTAGGATATAGCAGCATTTACTTAGGGGTACTTAGAGATAATTTTCATTTTTTGGTTATGATAATCCCTAAGAAACATCTAAAATTACATTTGTTGCTAGGGTTCTAAGTTCAGTATAGTTTAGGTAGACGTTTCAGGGCTTCGGGTTTAGGGACTGCATTGGGGTAGTTGTCCGAATAGGATCCTTTTTTGAATTCTTATTAGTATTTGTGTGCCCTATTTCCTTCGGGGACCCCAAACGGGATCCTTATTTGGAGAACTACCCATTTGGATTTGAGGGCTTGGGCTCTGGGAGTTTTGGCCAAGGGCTGTTTGTTTCGTGCGCTGGTCTTTGGTATGAAGACTGGTGAGTAGGGGCTGTGCTACATCATCTCTTTGCTACAGTTCTGATGCAGGTCACCTGGGTCGACTATACTTGAGCTACAGTATATATAAACTCCTCTTATCCCCCTTTAAACACTTTTTGTAGTCCCCGATATAATCCCCTATCGTCTTAAACAACCCCCTCAAGGAGTTTAGACGGTAGCTCATTTGCAGATACGGCAAGTCAACGGCAATGTCTGTCGAAGCAGGCCGTGTTTTGCAGGACCGGCGGGATTTTTTTGCCCAAAAATGCCTGGGTGTCTGGCGTTTCCTACGTGCTGAGCGGCAAGGGAGATCCTTTGACCCTCGAGGCACTTGTGCTGTTGTTTAGGTTAGTTACTTGCTATGGTTCCTTTGTAGGATCCCGACCATGACATGTAATCATCAGGATCGAGGTAACTGAGAGTTGCTTTCGAAAATGAAACGTCCCGCAGATCATGCCGGATCCTTTAATCCGCCGTAGGCCCTCAATCACCAGTCAACTTCCAGGTAAGGATTTTTGTTACAGGCTGGCCGAACGACCCCGAAATCAAGGCATTTCTTACCCGAAGCCCTAGATTGCAGCCTGAAGCCATTGGAGCTGTCTTTCGCAATACAGGAAGTTGTGAGATGTCTTAGAAACCTCTGGCCCCCTTCTGTCCCAGCCTGAATGGGACCCCTCTGAAAGCCAAGGAAGCCCCACGGGTCGGTCTGCCCCGAACCCTAAGCACTAACTCCCTAAACTCTAAACCCGAAGCCCTGAGCCCTAAGTTTGCAATTCTCCCAAACCCTAAGCTTTGAATCCTAAACGCCTAAACATCAAGTCCGAAGCCTTAATTGCCCGACGATCGCCGGAAGAAGGCAACACATAAAACCGCCAAGCCCTAAACCATAAAACTATAAGGTGGGTTACGGGCACGGCGATCAAGACCATCCTAGTCTGGCAAGAGCCCTGGCGCCACACTCAGAGTTTTGGGGATTGGAGTCCTAGCTCCACGGCTGGTTTCGGGGAATGTTGCAAGCAGGTTGTAAGTAGGATGGCCCAATTCTGCTGATGATTTGCCGACTGAATGTCGAATTATGAAGTTCCTGCATTTATGAATAGTCGCCGCCGACAAGATCAACAGAAATGTCAGCAAATGCAGGTGTTGCTTCATAGCCTCTTGTTTTCCAACGATACTATACTAGGATGCCCAGTAGTACCCTTATTCCCTTTGTGTAGTCCTAGGTTCCTTATAAAGTTACCCAATACCAAGAAGAGAGGCCTTTTTATTCTTAGGTTACTGGGTATCCTAGTATATGTCTGCTGGCCTTCTGTGTTGGTACTGTGCTAAATCAGACGTCCTAAACCCTAATACCCTGAACATCCCTAAACCATGAGCGTGAGCCAGAACTTTCACCGCCACAGCAGAACCCGCAGCGGCGACAAGCAGATATTGAATCGATCATAGCCTACCTTGGTGTAGGGTTTAGGGTTTAGGAGTTCAAAAGCTTAAACTCCCAACCCTAAACCCCTAACCCCAAACGCTGCAATCCCTAAGCCCATCCTAAATTAGGGTATTCCCACCCGACCCAAAGCCGACTAAACCATGACCCTACACTATTCAAGCGCAGAGATGATCAGAAGAAAATTCACCGCGACATGGGTGGTTGTCAAAATTATGGTCCCGTTTTGGGTACCCTAAATATTAGGTGCCGTATTATAATAAGGATCCAGAAAGGGGCCCTAATATTGACAACCACCCACATGATGGTTCTGAAGACCCAGGTGGACTCCGTCTCGGCTTTCCGGAAATGTCAGTGCTCCGAAGGTGCGAAGGGGTCGGAATGAGACTTATTATAAGTTACTCACTGTGCTACTTTCGGGGGTTATAGCGGGGTCTGAATAGTTCGGAAGAGTACCCGCTTACAGTCAAAAAAGTTTTTTTATATACTTGCACTACAATATCCCCCGAAGGCCTATTCTAAATTCTAAACAACACGGCCCACACCCCTAAAGGCCCAAGTACCCAACGATCAGATACTCTCCCGATTATTAACCTAGATAACTACTATCCGTACCCAAAGTACCTTATAATTGGGTCCTTTGGACCCTTAGGGCACGATTATGATTATGATTACGACTATGATCATGATTCTTCCTGTTGCTGTGATTAGTATTATTTTGTACTGTTACTATCAGTATTTTGTGGATCTGGGTTGTCGCAGGTTGGCACATAGCTCACAGGCGCGAGAGTTTTCTCCCTGAGCGGTGGGGGAGTTGTGGCTAGCATGCGATGGTACAGCAGGGCTGCGCACCTCGCGGGTGCGCCTCCAGTTAAGAGTAACCTAGCTACTTTACGCGTTGGTTAAGAAGCCCATCGTTCTCGTGGATGAATCGACGAAAGCCCTGCAACCCTACACCTTAGTCAAGATTCCACAAACCACACCTCAAACAGACGCGAGACCCTACACGCAAAGTCCCGAAGGAGCTACCTCCTTGGGCTCTCCGAGGATATCGCCTTATAGTATCCCTTGTAGTCCCTATCCCTAAACCCCAAAACCTTGCACAGTAACCGTTATAGTAGCCGTTATACCTAAACCCTAAACCCTTAAAGTACCCCATAAAAAGCCTTCAGAGGATATCTTCAACTCCGTGATGTCGGGCTCCTGTGCTGCCGGTGCCTGGGCTCCAAATCTCGGAGCCCCGAGCCCAAAGGAAGTCCGTTCAGAGTTTAGGGTTTCGGGATAAGGGCTACTATAACGGTTACTGTAAGGGGTATACAGGGTTTAGGGTTTAGGGATAGGGGATACTACAGGGGATACTATAAGGGCCTATAGGGTTTAGGGTTTAGGGATAAGGGCTACTAGAACGGTTACCAGAAATGGTATACAGGGTTTAGAGGATAGGGATCTACAAGGGATACTGTAAGGGGCTTTAGGGTTTATGGGTGTTTATGGGGCTCATGGAGTTTATAGGGTTTAGGATTTAGGGCCCAAAGGCGGTGTAGGGTTTAGGGTTTTGGGCCCACAGGAAATCGGTATAGGGTCTAGGGCTCAGGGCACGAAAGCAGCAACAATCGAGTGGGGTCTTAATCACAGGGCCTAGGGTTCTGTTTGCTGAAAGCACTAAGCCCCAAACCCAATCCCTACTCAAGTGCCAAGCCCCCGCCCCACTAACCCTAAGCGCTGGACGGGTATCAATATCCCTTATGGTCCTATAGATGTACCTTTCATAAATGCTTTTGGGAGCCGCAAAGTGCAACCCAGTACAACCCAAATGCAGGCCACTCGCCATTATTCCTAAATCGCACGCCATAAAAGCCCCAAGCCAGAATCCTAAACCATAAAAACACCCCACGCCCTCAACCCCCAAAAGCCCGCAAGTCCCTAAACCCTAAACCCACACCCAGGCCAGCCGGGGGTGTTGGTGCTCTTCTCAACGGGTCCCAGTGGCAAGGAGCTGATGAAGACCGAGTCGGAGCCCAGACGTGGAATCGTTGTTTAAGGGTTTATTGGGGCTTTAGGGTTTAGGGGGTTTTGGGGGTTTCAACAGTTTTGGGGTTTTAGGGTTCGGGATTTTGGGATAAAAGAAGTTTTTCGATAGTTCCATCAGGAACCCAGGTGGCTTCAGGGTCGCTGGGGATGTTTGAGGAAGCTGCTGTGTTGCTTTTTCTGCTAGGGGTTGACCTAGACCCCCCAAGTGCCCTCTAAGGGGCTGAGGCATTTCTCATTAAGAGGTAATTCGGGGCTGCAATAACGGGCAGTTGGGGAGTCCAAGGAGGGTTTGAAGTTTAGGACCCAGGTTTGGGGTTTGCGATTCAAGACCCTAAACCCTCAAGCCTATACCCTTGTACTTTCGATAGTTCTCGCGTGTCTAGGATATGACGATGTTACGAGTAGCCCATGAGCCTGACTTGGGAGTAGAAGCTCGACACTTCTTCTCATTACAGACCAATGGGTTTAGGGTGTAGGGTTTAGAGGGTCCGTATATACTACTACTATGCAACTTGGTCCCCAAAAGCATAACAGGGATGGTCTGTTGGGGCTTTAGTGTCTATGGCCTATGGACCCTCTGGGAGACTACGGCATACGGAATAGGGTTCCTTTTAAGTCCCCATTCCCATGTGGATCTATAGTGACCTATCCGATTTTGCGGGTTCCTTATTAGAACTAGGGTATAATATACCCCAAAACCCTACTCTGATTATGTAAGGCCCCTACATTACAGAAATATGGAGCACGCTTCTGAGATGCGAATTCCGAGGAGCAGGGCCGGATCGACAAAGCACTGGACTTCTTGGCAGAGATGTTTGGACGGGCTCCCTGGTTGCTTCTTTAGGTCTTTGGGGTTTCAGGGTTTAGGGCTTAGGGTTTAGGGATTTTGGGGTTTGAGGGTTTGGGGCTTAGGGTTTAGGGATTTTGGGGTTTGAAGGTTTATGGCTTAGGGTTTAGGGATGAGGGTCTAGGGTTTCAGGGTGTGTTCTAGCGTTTTCAACGTTGTGGTCTTAAGGCTTAGGGAGTTCAAGGCTGCGAGTCGAGGGGTGTTGATGAACACCTCCCTTCTCAATGCCCAGGTTTAGGGTTTAGGGGTTTAGGGGTTTAGGGTTTAGGGTTTAGACCAATACTACTACATTACACCCCCCCAAAAAAAACACTTCCAACCATGCAGGCTTGATGTTGCGAGGGTGTAGGGTTTAGGGCTTATAGTGTCACACTATGTAAGACCTTTAAAAGTTTAAGGGACCCTTTCTGTGTCGGCACTCTGTGGACCAACATTGCGCGCACACACACAAAACACACTTGCAGAGCAGTCATCCTTACTTGTTGGATGGATTCTGTTTGTGCTACCTTGTTACACTTTGCGCTCCTTTAGATTGTTGACTTGCCACGTTTATGGCTTAGCCCGGTTGCCATTCTCCTTGCAGGAAGGCTGGGATGATCAGGCCCAGTCCTGCGGTCACCATTGAAAGCTTCGTTGGGCAGAGCTCTATGGGCCTCCTGTGCCTCCCTGATTGATAAAACTTGCATGTCTTACATCCTTCGGAACAGGAGTGCGCACACACGCCTCCTCATGACACCCGTGCAAGGCAAAGACCTATGAGGACATGCGAGAGTTGGCTATTCGTTTGAGCCCGCCAGCCCCAAACACCATACCCCAAACCCCTAAACTACCCGGAGACCTTGCGCCCTGAACCTCAACCCGCAAGCCCTGCAAAAAACAAAAGAAGCCTAACCAAATTAGAGCCCAGACAATACCCACTCCGGTGGCTGCTCGATCGACGAACTGGTGTGCCGAGCCACTCTACCAATCAAGCTTGTATTTAGGGCTTCGGGTTCAGGTTTACTTGGAGATTTAGGGTCTGAAGTGGAAATACTCGTAAGATGCGGTGTAGATTTTCTTTGGAATGGTGTGCCGCGAGGGGGGCGCTTCTCGAAACGTAAGATCTTAATTCTCAAGGGCACAAACTTGGCCTCTGTGTTCATAGACATTTCCTTGCCGTCCCGGAGAAACCCTAAATCCCAAACCTCAAACCCTAAACTTCGTTCCGTTTTGTTATGTATTTGGGCTCGGCGCCCCAGTCGAAAGATTTCGTTTCGCGGCTGGCTACCATTTGGGGTTGAGAGACCCGGCAGTCATGTACGAGTTTATCCTGCTCTGAGTTCCACTACGGGCCCGGATTTTCTGAATCTTCTCTTCATTGTGCCTGACCCCTGTGCCGGTAAATTCTAAACCCTACACCGCTTAACTAAGCTGAAATCGTAAACACTAACTAACATCTACGGACACGTAACCGTAAGCCCCTAAACTCGAAAACCCCTAGAATGATCCGCTGGCTCAGGCCCCTCAGCCTTGGCGGCTATGCCTCCTACGCAGCCCCGGGCACGCGCAAGAAGGCCCCCAAAGCGAAGCTAGGGTTTAGGGTTGAGGGTGTGGTTGTGTCATGGGTTCTCGCTGGTGTGCGCACACCCAGGCCGCTCGCACCGATAGAAGACAGCCCACCCCAAGACCTCCTTGAATTCAAGCACTTTAGGGTTTAGTTCTGAAGTTCTCTAGGCATCCCAACGGGGTCTTGGACATCACCCACGTGCGTCATGCGCGGGCAGCGGGTAGAATCGGATCGAATCCAGCGAGAATGTGTGCCCCAAGCGGAGACAAACAGCAGTGTGTGGGCTTTCTGTGACTCTGTGTTTGGCAGGTGCCGGAAGAGGTAGTGGAATTTCTGTGAAGCCGTGTTGGCGGCGGTTCTCCTGAACAGACACAAGCTTTCTGTAAGGCTGTCTTGGCGGGTTCCGGAAGAAACAATGCAGTATGGGCTTTCTGTGAGGCTATGCTAGCGGCTTTTGCCATGGCCACTCCCAAACCCAAAGCCCCTGCAATATTCTAGATTCTAGATTTTCGGCCACTGTTGTCAGCCACTCCAACTCGTCAAGGGCCGGGGGGGGGTGCAACCCCTGTCAAGAGGACGTCATGTTGCGGGCCGGTTCCCACTCGTGAAGGGTTGGGTGGGGGGTTGCAACCCTTGTCAAGAGGACAGGCCGCTCCAGCTCGTGAGTGGTTTGAGGGGGTGACAAGGAAGTGCAAGCAAAATCCGGGTTCAGGGTCTTTGCCTTCGCCATTCCTTTGTATCTAGGCTCTGCGTACACGCTCGCAAAGCTCGGGCCGCTTCGGGCTTTGCGGTGGCGGTTGTCGCGCCTTCCGCGAAGACCTGAGGGTTTAGGGCTTATAGGTCTTAAAAGGAACCGAAGTCCGTGTTCTTGGAGAGATTCGCTCTCAGGCAGGGGCGTAAATTTAATAGGGGTTGGAGGGAGTAAAGCTGAGGCTTGGGGTTTTGCGGTTCAGCCCTCAGAGCCTGAAGTAGGTGGGCCTTCAGGGCTTTCTGAGATAATCCATTACGATCCCTGAGACAACAATTTAGGTGTGTGAAGGTTGGGTCACAGGCAATGTAAGCCTCTGGTCTGCAAGCCCTCCGCGAGCTAGGTAGGACGATCTTCGTCATCTTGCTGCCGTGGAAGTTTTAGGGGTTTGTTCATGGCTCAGCGGTTAGAAATGACTGAAGCACACAACAAATCATTGAATCGTTACAGTACCCAGTAGACTGATAAGCGTAGCCATCATGTTCCACAGTATGACAAAATCACCAAATCAGTGGCAAGGCTTGCAACCAAAGCCACCGGCAAACCCTCGCCGAACAGTCGCAGCTTGAGCTCCAAAACATCATATTGGCAGCCCTCGTTGTAACACCATGGAATCAAAAATCGCAGTCTTCATCATCACTACTGTCAGTATCACGCCTGTGTCGCAGGCTTCATCGTACCTGCCAAATTGATGTTGACACTCGGAGTTACCCAACAGGTTTTGATGCCCAACGGGATTCGATTGGGCCTGATTCCTGAACTTGCAACGCCACTTCAATGACCATCTGCTACGTACTTGAATCATCACCTCACTCGTTTGTGAAGGCCCGATATGAAGGCTGTCAGAAATCATGATGATTATACAGTCCCTATTTATGATCTGTGCAAGCTTCAACACTTCCCTCGAGCGCGTTTTTCTTAGAGGCCCCCGACCTCTTCGAGTCCTTCCGCGGGATCCATTTCGCAGGGACAGAGTTGCTTGGATGCAGGAGTAGTTAGCAGCTCAGCAATAGTTGGCATCATGAATTATGATGCCGGGTATGCCACAGAGCTAATCGGAGCGGCTGTGTTGACGTATCAACACCATGAACATGGTGATCATGATTGCTATGGTCATCATACCAGTCATGATCATGATCATCATCATCATCATCATCGGTGTGATGTGTGGTGTACTATCCGCGCTTTTTGTGAGCTGCCGCCTGCTTCTGCGTCTGTTCCTGTGTGTTGTTGATCCTGTGCGTCTCGAAGTACCCAGCAATCTACGTCTTGTTGTTGCCTGTCGTGCAGTATTCTGCCGAATGCTGCTGGTTGAAAGTGCTTAGTTGAATCAGGTAGATTCTGAGCACGAGCGGCCCAGTTAAGTATCCATAGCCATCCAAAACCAGCAAGCAAACTTGTGGTTCTTGGTGATACAGCTGCTGCAACAGCAGTACTGCTGATGGTGGGTGTTGCCTGCGGCGGTATCCTTTTCCTTTAGCCTGCCAAGAGTTGTTGGGAACCATCCTGAACAGAAGAAAGGTAGTCAGCAGGTAGTCCTTCGTTTTGGCGTGTGTGAGAGACAGAGAGTGTTAGTTACATCCTACACATCAGCATACAATACATTTGTTTGTTTTCGTTTTTATGCTTGAATTTGGTCGAACTCCTGTTGAAGTCTCGTCTGGATCTGGAGCAGCATGCTGGAAGTCGGCACAGGGCGGCGAGCGTGACAGTGTCACGAATTTAATACAGGTTGCACAGTGAGATTCCACATGCCAGAGACAGTGCTTCGCTAACTACAGCGGTTCCACCTACTCGCCATATCCACAGCCACGACGACAACTACTACTGCCCACATTTAATAACGGTTACGAAGACGAAGTCTGTGTGAATCAAATCCCCAGTCTACGTCCATCAAAGCCCTCAAGCCTCCCAGAATCTTCACTCCAGAAAAGGACTGCAGATGAATGGCGCTCTTACATGGAGGGAGCGATTCAGTCAGGAGACTCTACTGCGGTTTGGATATATCGGGTTTTCGGATTGGCAGCTGCGACACGGCATCAGACGGCCAGACTTTCGTTTGTTTTTGGTGTTTTCTGGTTTCCTTCCAGTTTGAAATCGTCCCCAACGGTCTCAGGAACTGCACGTAAGCTTCCACAAGACAGCAATCCACCCCCACGGGAGGCGGTCAGGCTCAAAATCACACAAGGTATATTGGCGGCTCTGAATCGGTTTGATGCTCAGCCTCAAGGCCTGGGGTAGCTCTGTGCTTTCTGGGACTTGTGTGGTAGCCAAACATGTTCGACTGCGATGCTTGTTCCAAACGCCTTCGGCTTCACTACATAAAACAATCCCCAGAGACTTCGAAGCCCCTTCAGTTGAGGAATGCACCTTGAGCTGTTCAATGGATCCTTCTTCCTTTTTATAACAGTTGCTATTATCATTTATCTTCCGCTCATAGATTGTCATGACCATCATGTCTCTATAATGATCAAGAAAACATATACGAATACTCTGACCAAAAGTGGATTCAAACCCGGAACCCTAAACCCCCAAATCCCATAAAACCCTAAACCCTAAACCCCCAAACGCTATAAACCCCAAACCCTAAACCCCCAAACCCTATAAACCCTAAACCTTATAAAACCCTAAACCCCCAAACCACATAAAACCCGAAACCCTATAAACCCAAAACCCTACAAAACCCCAAAGCCTATAAGCCCTTAAACCACATAAAACCCTAAGCCCTATAAGCCCTATAAGCCCTAAACCCTAAGGGCTTCGGAGTCTCGGGATCTCCCATAAGGAGAGCGGTCCGCAAGAGCAATCATTGCCGCAATGACCGCTTCCTGAGTCGCCAGCTAGCTGGTATGTCGTAGGCCCGAAGGCTTAGAATCTAAGGGTTCGTATAGGGTTTTATAGTTTTTTTTGAGATTTAATTTAGGTGCTTGGGGTTTGGGGTTTAGGGGGATTTTACAGGGCTTTATCGGGTTTAGACTTGGATCTAAACCAGGGTTTTAGGAGTAAGGGGTTAGGGTGTAGAGTTTCGGGCTTCGCGCGTTAGATGTTGGCTTGAGGTTGCGGAGTTGGTTGGCATGAAGGAGCTCCAGGGCGTAGTGGGCGAGAGTAAGTCGTACTGCGCTCTCAACCGAAAAAGCTGTAAGTCATAGATCCCTGGGGCCCATTTTCCAAACAAATTGTCATTCGGGCAGCTGGAACTTGGATTTCGTTCATAGGCTGTCGAAGGACCGCCATAATGAAATCCAACATCTTAGGCCCAGATTGAGAGCCCGCAACAGGCGCAGCTTGAGCAGCTCGCTGATGTCGGGTTTGCGCTATGGCTTGTATAGCCTTCTGCGCCAAGACCCTGTAAAGGCCGTTGCTGTGACGGAAAAGCCTTGTTGGCCCGCTCTGTAACTTCTGTGTGGAGGGTTTAGGGATTCAGGGTTTAGGGTTTATAATAGGGTATAGGGCATTCAGAGTGGTTTCAAGGCACCGCGGTTGCAGCGCTTTTGATAGGGCAGATCCCTGAGACCCACAGGGCTTACCAATGTTTCTAGTCAGGCTGATCGGGCACCCGATACAAGAAAAACTTTAAAGTCAAAACCCTAAACCCTAAACTCTACACTTCAAACCCTAAACCCTAGATCATAAATCCTAAGCCCAAAACCACACAGAACTATGTTTCAAAGTTCCCTGACTTCTTGAACCTGGCGGACCTGACTTCTCGACCCCCTGCTCCCCCAAACTTCGGATCATCCCACATGGTACCGATGCCTTTCAGGGTTCTTCGTAAGAAGTCTGTTTCAAGTTACCATAAGAAGGAAACCTTATCAGCTACTGCTACTGCTACTACTACTACTACTACTACTACTACTACTACTACTACTACTACTACTAGTACTACTACTACTTCCTATTTTGTGGGAACTTAAACTAGATTCCATAACCTGGATTCGTTGCCCCTCGATTCGACGAGCCGAGACGTTTCGTGCACAGCCAGGGTTTAGGGTGTCTAAGGGTTTATAGGTTTAGGGTTTAGGATTAGAGCAGGTTCAGGGATTTGTCTCTAACAGGGTCCTAAACGACTTCGACTCACTCGGGTTTAGGGCATAAGGATTCGCATGTTGTGGGCTATTCTCGGAAATCCCCTTACCCCCGTACCCGACGCATTTGGAGCGAGCACTCCTGTCAGATCAGTGTGCGGGCGAGCTTTACATGCAAAATCAAACCTAAACCCGAAACCCTTTAACCCGAAACGCTTAAACCCTAAACCCGAAACCCTTGAAACCGAAACCCTTGGAACCCGAAACCCTTGGAACCCTAAACCCTTAAGCCCTAAACCCCCAAACCCATAAACCCTAAACCCTTAAACTCGAAACCCTCAAACCCGAAACCCTTAAACCCTAAACCCTTAAACCCTGAACCCCTAAACCCTCAAACTCTAAACCCTTAAACCCGAAACCCTTAAACCCTAAACCACTAAACCCGAAGCCTCGGAAATTCATGGTCATGTATCCAACTGAAGGCCAAACCTCAAAGTCCTACTCCCGGAGCCCAAAAGCCTCGGTCTAGGGTTATAGGGTTTAGGGGTTTAGGGTTTAGGGCCCCCTTCACCGAATCCCTGAACCTAAAACTCAACCCTTCTGCGCTGAGGTGTCGTCTCCTTTGCCGACTGGGCGATGTGGTCGGGATGCCCTGAATGTTGGATTTTGGAGACATGGGAGTTTCAGGACTGAGGAGATTCTATTGCGGAGAGCTTGTGGAAAGGGTGATGTAAGGTTTTACGAATGGTTTGATACGGAAGTTTCAGAAAGTATCGGAAGACTGCATACTGCTGGTAGACGAAATCCGGCATTACTCGCAACGTGAACACCCTAAATGACGGCAGTTATGTCCTGATTGTAGATAGCAAAACTCTACCAAACCGTATTTAAATCCACTAAATTCATGTCATACAACCCTGAACCCTGAGCCCTTGGACAAGCCTAAGCCCTCAGCGTAAACCCGAGAGCCCTGAGCAACAAGCACAGTAGGTCCTGACGAATTCTCACGATCCCCAGAGGACTGCAAGAACAACCCTAAACTCTAAACCTCAAGCTTCCGAAACCCCTAAACCCCTAAACCACCCTTCGCTCGCCCCCCTCCCCGCCAGCAAAGCCCGCCACGACCAAGTCCAAACCCGAAACTCTGGACCCTATACCCGTAGACCCGAAACCCTATACCCTTAGACCCTAAACCCGAAACCCTATAATCCTAAACCCTATAACCCTATGAACCCTGAACCCCTGCGCCCCTCCATCCCAGAGGTCCGGGCACGGCGCGATGCGGCGAGGCGAAAGCTGAACCGGCCACTGAATGAGGCAAGGTTTAGGGCTTCATCGGTGTAGGGGCTTAGACTGACTTAGCATTTTGAGTTGTGTGATGCAAGAGTCTTCCAAGGCTTTGTCCGAGGCTTGGAACGGGTTCAGGTTTACCGTTTCTGCCTGGGCCTGTTGCTGAAGGATTCGTTAGGTGGGTTCAGGGTGTTCACGTTTAGTGACTTGTTCAGGTGAGTTTCGGGTGGCTGGAGTTAAGTGAGTTTCGGTTTAGTTGCTGTCTACAACGTCAGTTGTGTTTGATATTACGTAGTCATCGTGCCATTGCGAATGAATAGGACCATCGCTAGTAGCAGTGAAATACCGACTGTTCGCTGCCACTGTTCTTTGTATGTACCGCTGCCAGTTTTTGTATTGCTGCGCAGATATTATTGTTGATTTGGCATATGGGAGTTTCCGAAAATTAGGGCTACCTTATTTTGGGGTCCTTATAATAAAAAGGATCCTACTATTTAGGGTGCTATGTTAGGGTCCCCTATTCTCGGAAACTCCGATATGTTTTGCTTTGGCTACATCGAGTCGAGTGGCGTGTCTGCTTTCATTGGGCGGGGCAGAAGGCCCACGGCCCACGTTGTTCACTTCCTCGGGATTCCCATTCTTCTCAGGGGTTGAGTAGGTAACCTTCAATCTTTAGGGGCTTTTCTAATCCTACAATAGTGCAAAAGGTGAACTTATAAGGTTAGCTATTTTTTGGGCTAGGGCCAGGGTACTCAGCCCCTAAGATCATGGTTGAGGTTATGCTTATGCTTATCGCAGTTTGGTTTGCTTGCGTCAGACTGCGTCGTATGTCGCACCTGCCCATGTGCCTTCCAAAGGGATCCGGGAGGGGGGCGTTCAAGCCCAAGCTCTCATCACTAATCAAACCCCGTACCACTAAAACTTAACCTCCGGACCCTCTAACCCTAAGCAGGTGACCTAAACCCTCCAACCCTCTAGAACCCTAGGCACTAAACCCTAAAACCTCTAAACCCTCCAAACCCTAAGCAGGTGCAGGTGGCCAACGCAGTGGGCACTGTGCTGGGCTGGAGGACGGAGTTGCAGGCAGCTTCTGGTGTTTCTTCGTGCCTTGATTCTATAAGCTGGAGGCCTCAACCACAAGCCGCTAGTCACTAGGCCTTAAATCGGGGTTTATGGGTTCAGTGTATTTGGGTGTTAGTCGGTAGATATCGGTAACGCCCACAGAAGCAACTCAATGGTGCACCACCACCATGCCTAAACATAACACCAGCTTGTAGGACCCTGTGAGAAGCAAAAAGCAGCTGATCACCAGACGACTGCAGGGCTCAAGGGATGACAATATAGGGCCCGTAGTACTTACTTATACACTTCTGGTGGTTCCTTATTATAATCACAGTATAATTGGCCCCCAAACCCTATTCTAATTATTAAGGCCCCTATACTAAGCACGACGCGTTCAGTCCCTTCTCGACATCCACCAACATACCTGATGAAGGTTGACGAGGAAGCTAAGTAGAAAGGGATTTAGGGTTCCGGGGTTTTGCAGTTGTTTAGGGCTTCAAAGATTTGGGGCCATAGGACGTTTAGAGTTCAGAGCTTTAAGGCTTGAAAGAGAAGGACTTTAAGAGTTTGATGTGCAAGGGCTCTGCGAAGAATAACTGATCGACCACCTTGTTTGCTTCAGCTCTCAGACAATGGGGACCCCAAAAGTGAATGCCACAATGCAGGATCCTTACGATAAGAGCAAGACGATGCCCTTGGTTTTTGAAGCCCTAAGCCCGAAATACCTCAACCGGAAACCCCTGAGCCCTAAATTACTGGGTTTACGGTTTACGGTTTAGGGTTTAGTACACCCTAATTGAGCCTTGAATTCCTAAAGCATGAACCCTAGAGGGTCTTTGGCGCCAGGCAAAAGGGCTGCCACCGCAAGCTGCCAAGTTTGCGCGGCGCTTGCGCGATGCCATGTCTTGAGCTCAGATTAGGTTTTAGAGTTTAGGAAATATGACTCATGTAGTCTGGTTGGATTTTGAATGAGACTTTATTTACGTTTTTCTGAATTAAAGCATGTTGGGATATCCTTTGACTTTGTAGCGTCCAGGGATTCCAGTCTATTGAGTTGGGCTTAGGGCGGGCTTATGCTTGCGCATGCACCTCAAAGTAGCCCTGGATGGAGGATGCTGGGGGGAGACGTTTTGTCTGGGAGGTTTCTAGTTTAGGGGGGTGGAGGTTCCCGTTCACACTATAGGCGCTGCATGTTTTGCTTGCCAAGCTCTTGTGGATAGGGGACTGCTACGGTTGATGATATAAATCCTGCATGACCCATTATAAGGAATATAAAATAATTCCCATAGTTTCGGGTCCTTAAGGTAATGCAGGTTTTGTATCATCAAGCGTAGTAGCTCCTGCCTTGCCCCTTGAAGGCCGCTCTCATGCTATTTGGTTTAGGGCTTAGGGTTTACTTGCAAGCAAAAATCTCGCCGAGGCTTTCGAAAACCCTAAGCCCCCAAACTTCAAAACCCATAAACCATCTTGAGGGCATGTTTTTTAACGTTCAAAACACCCCAAACCCCCAAACTTCAAAACCCCTGGCCCTAATCATTTTTAGCCCTATGGCAAAGCCCCATGAAGAGCCCTCGTAAGATCGAGCTCCACCTGAACCGCCCTTCTCCGAGGCAGCAGGAAATCGATAAGGGTGCCAGCCGCGGAGCTCTCCCGTATCAGAAGGACGGGGTTTAGGGTTTAGAGGGTTAGGGTACCATATCAGAAGGACGGGAAGGCAAGGGCTTTTGGGGAGACTCGTGGACGGGTGAAAGTTCAGAAGGCAGGGCCAGCACTTGGAGCAGGGATTGAGGATACATTGTCGTCGAAGATTTGTCACAAGGCAGCTGAGACAAAAAAACTGCGCGGAAGCCAGCCTTTTTCCAGCCTTCCGACCTCCGGACGCGGAAGACCCTAAACCCTGAAACCATTATACTCCCAATATGGTTTAGGGGTTAAGGGCTCAGGAGGCTTAAATCCTAATGTAGGAACCTGATTAAGAAACCCTGGGCCTAGAGCCCCAAAATAGTAGGATTCGTTATAAAGAACCCTAGTAAAGGCCCAAGGTATCTTAATCAGGTTCCTACATTACTATAGTACCCTTGTAGATCCTATATAGTAACCCTTAGAGACCCCTCCAAAAGGAACCCTAAAGCCCAAAACGATCTCAGGCTGAAGGTGGACCCCTAGAAGTCGAGAGCGAACTGGAGCCGGCCTCTCTCTACCTGGAACCCCCAACTATCCTCCACTGTACCTTAAATACCCACTATGAAAGGACATAAGATCTCAATTAAACGGTGGGATCCTGGCCAAATGCGAATCTTTAAAGCAGCCAGGCGTTAAAACCCTGAGCTCAGCGTTGTTGTCTGCATCTCTCCGATTTATGTGTCCTTCTCTGGCCCATCAGATCACCCCGCCGTCACATGCTAGATTGCAGTAGTGCGGTATCCACGGCCTTAAGATCAGACGGTGTTACTGGCAATCATATCGAACCTGACAAGCCTACAACTCTGCATCGGGTACTGCCACCACTCAGTAACAGTTGGATACTATTCATAATGTAGATATAAGGACCTGAATAGTAGCCCTATTACAGACTGTTACTGCTGTATGGGGGCAATACCCAATCTCTACATATGATGAATCCGAAAGGCCGAAGCCGTCCAATGCCAGGATCTGAACCTGCTCTCCCATGTGGTGTCGAAAGTCCGAGGCTCAGAAAATGCTTCTGATGGCAGCTCTGTATTCATGATTTTAAGTACGGCAGGTTCTTGTGCATCAACAGCTACATCTAACACACGCTGTTGCGATGACTTGTTTATTGAACTCGCGATGGTTAGTGCTATTGCTACTGACACTGTTGCTCAGCAGCCCTCTCCAGCGCACGACCGTGTATGATCCCTATGTGTCCATGCAATGTATTTTCACACGCGGCTAGGGCAGAAGCTGGTCCGAATTGTGGGGCATGCAGCCCAGCCTTGTTACTACGTAGTGATGCACAGGCCCATGATCAACGTTAGGTCCGCTTGGTCATTGAAGCGGTTCAAGCATAAGAAGCAGCGCGTGGTTTTCCTGCTTTGGTCTTTAACGCAGCATGGTTGCAATGCGCTTCCTGCTCGCGTGGCCTCTTTTGGTCCAGGGGCTGCAGCAGGCGGGTTGCTGATTTGCTACGGAGTCGAAGTCCACCGCCGTCGGAACGCCTCGCAGGCGCACTTTAGCTTCTTGCACGTCTCGCCCGATTCACTCGCATCCAGTTCCACAACAGGCGCGAGAGTTGCCGGCCATGCAAGAATAGGAGCCGTATGACTTGAGTGATTGGAGGTGTTTGCAGCGACGCTAACCTGCTCAACGCGGCAAAACTTCGTGCTCTGGTAGAGGACGGGCTGTGCTGTGAGAAACTGTCAATTGTCGCCCTGACTTGGGTGTTGCTTGTCAAGGTGTCACGTCGTGGCCTCAGATGCCTTAGCTTCGTGCGAGTGCAGAGTGTGGCCCCGTGACTACATGTAGATTGGCAGTCCCAAGCAGAGGCAGCTTCAACGACACCACGCCCTTGGACGAGGTCTTGGACGTCATCGCCAGGATGCACCAGCTGCGGAAACACATGGTGCTCCCACAGCCTGCAGCCAACGTGGCTTCGATCGCTGCGGCGCCGGCGCAGCTGAGGAGCATGGCTCTGAAGGCGGCGGCGCCTGAGCCGCTCCTGGGTGCAACAGTATCACTGTTGTAGTGGTGTGCTGCAGCGCTTCAAGCATGATGACCTAGCCAAGGCAGATGGTGCATGTCCTGATGGGATGGCTTTCGTTGGACGCAGCTGGGGGCTTGGCTCGCGGAATGTGTAGCAACTAGTCGACTCGACGCCAATTTTCAAAGGATCCTTTGTGTTTGCTCAGATCCTTATGCTGGTGACGCTGGTGGTTGCGCTGGCCATTGCTCTTGCGGCTGTGTTTTCGCAGCACATCTGTTGGATGAGATTGCTGGGCATCAGCACGCTGAGCTGCAAGTTAGCCAGTGCGTGGGGCCTGTTGTCCTGAGGTGCTGAGCTGTTTGCGCGCGTCGCGTGAAGAGATGCGAGCAGCATACGCCCAGATCGACGCCGTCAAGGTGCGAAGATGACGCCAGTCCACGACATGTTGTTTCTATTGGTCACGAGCAAGCCGCGCGTAGCATGTCCAGGCGGAAGCTCGCGAGACTCTTCGCGTCATGGCGTCCCGCTTTGCTGCTTTACAGGCCATGCCGCGCTTGGCTTGTGCACGTGTCGTGCTGGCAATTTTTCCTGCCAATTAGGCTGAGCGTGACGAATTTCAAGCAGAACGAGACGACTTAGAGGCGTGCTTGGAATTGCTTGTCCGGGTTGCCTTGCTCCAACATCTAGACCGCGTGTCGAACCCTGAAACCATTGAAACCTGGAGCCCCATGTTGCAAGCCACAAAAGCCACACCCCCAAGTCATGAAACCCTGAACCTTGCGCATGACCCGAATTCATTTGCGCATCAATTCCGCCCAAACGCTAGACCCCTGTTCAAAGCCTTGACCCTAAACCGCTGAACCTGCGTCTGAAGCTCAAAGCTCTATAATACTATAATTTCTTTTATCTCCACTGCCCGGGTGTTTTGGCGCAGGCCCAACTGCAACATGAACGGCCGGTCCTTTACGACGAAAGCGAGCTCAGTGTCAACACGAAGTCTTTCTACGGCGCAGGCATGTTTGGAACTGTCGTATCAGCAACACTTGCGCTTCCGGCCGATTCAGTCGGAGTTGCGCTGAAGAGGCAAGCTTGCCGGGCTTCGGATTTTGGAGCTAGGGTTGAGGGTTGTTTGTCCGCGCTCCGCCGCGGTTCGCTCGGTATGTCGCTCATGTGTTCTTTGCTTGCTTTATGCGCTGTCCGTTTAAAGTATCCGGAAAGCTATATTGAACACACCGATGTCGCACTGGCAGTAAGGGGGCAAAAGCATCATGAATCTTGAACTTGGGCCTAGCTGAACACATCTTCACTCAAGAGACAATGCAGGGGTTGTAAAAACAAATGCAAACTTTCTTCTCACGGCGGTTGTAAAAAGGACCGACAAGCCACAATGCAAACAAAATGGGGGTAACGACTGCCAAATGCACACGCTGCGAACAATGAGGGGCATCAAGAAGACACACACATTTCAAACAAGAAAGGGCATTGGGGAAAGTCGCATCACGAAGACATGCTTCGAGCCAAGCAGAAGCGGAAGACGCTGCAAACCAGATAGGGATACAGAGCACTGAGATGGCGAGATCCACAACAACATGCTGCAAACAAGAGAGGGGTAAGGAGCACCAGGAAGCACCAAGAAGATTCGCTGCGGACACAGACATTTCGTCAGAAAAGAACACCAAGAAGGCTCGCTGCAAACACAGCGGGGTCGAGAGCGCCAAGAGTCCAAGAGGACATGCTGCGAACAGGAAAAGGGTAAACAGCACAAAAGGAAACGCTGCGTTGACATTACAGGGGAAATAGCACCAAGAGCAAACGCTTCAGACAAGACAAGAGTGGTATAGAGTACCAAAGACACGGCGCAAACAAGATACAGATGAAGAGTCCTGTGAAGACGAGCTGTAAGCGAAATAGCGGGAAGTAAGTACTTGTACATGACAGGGTTCGGAACGAGCACCAAGATGACACGCCTTGCCAAATAAGGGAGTGCCGACAACACCAAGAAGGCACGCTACACACAAGATAGAGTTATGGAGCACCAAAAAACGCGTTGCGAATATGCTGTGGGCAAATCCAACACACCCAGAAGATACGCAAAAAGGGGTACTCATTGCACCAAAAAAACGCGAAAACGACACGCTGCAAACCGGAGATGCGTAAAACAGCCAAGAAGACGGACCGCAAACAAGTTGAGGGTAGAGCGCCAAGACGATGCGCTGCAAACCATCTAAGGACAAAGAGGACCCAAAAGACACCCATCGTACAAAAAGCGTAAGAGAGCATCAAAAAGACAACATGGTTCAACACAAAGAAGACACGTTTACACCCCGCAAACAAAAAGACAGGGATTGTAAAGAGCGCAGAGATTTTGCAGGAGCAAGATGGGCGTGGACATGGTGTTGCAGGAAGCAGCTGCGCTCCTTCGTGTGGGCAGTCACCCGAACATCGTGCGCTGTATGGGACTTACGCTTGGCGCCGGTGGTGCCGCGTCTCTCGTCCCTCGGCTGTCTCGACTGCGAAGCAGCGGGAAGGCGAGGCCGTACCTTGAGGCTTTGACTCAAGCATTCACAAGGCAAGATCGAAGAGACGTTTCCAAACAACACGCCTGTTTATCTGTTTTGGCATAGCATCTCACCAGTCCATGTCGCGTATGATGTGTGTAAAATGACAATCTCAATTGTGGCATGGGCTTGCTGCGAAGCCTAAGGTCCGATATGAGTCTGATAGTAGCTGCAATCCTAAAACGAAAGCACGTAGACCCGGCCATCACGGGCATTCTCGTGGTTTTCAACCGGATCTTGAATCGAACGTGCCTGCTGCGGACTATCCCCTTTAAATGCTGTAGACAAGACAACCCCGAAAGACATGATGTCAGGGGTGGGAGGGTGGGATGAGTTGGAGACAGTTGGAGGGTCACCTGTCAGGTGACCAGTCAGGTGCTTCCAGGCATAAAGGGCCCAAATTCGAAAAATTGAGCAACCAGCCACAAGGGGCAGGGTCTTCTGGGGCCAGGGGCCCGGGGCAAACCCTAAAGCCCAAACCCTGAACCAAGCAAAGATTTGGAGTCAAGCGTGCTGCACAGAAGAATGCAAACGCAGTCACCTGAAGCAGTTGCAGAAAGAGAAAGGTTTAGGTTTATTCCAAGGCATTGGAAGCCCTCGGCCGGGACCTGGGCGCCTTGGTAGACGGATGGTATCCCGACTTGGAGCCGCGCAGCGCTGCTCTAGACCTCGCGCGCGGTCTAGCACATGTGCATTCACTGATGGCCTCTTAGCAAAAGTCATTTGTAGCAGTCCTGCTTTAGTGCAGTCATGCCTTAGTGCAGTGCAGAACTCGCACAACATCACACAATGGAACGCACAGGTCTTGCATTGCGACATTCGGCCAGAAAATTATTTGGTGGACGCGGGGGACTACTCAATCAAGCTCTGCGACTTCGGATCTTCCGTCGTGGCTGACGCTCCTTGGCTGCGCAAGCGCTTGCTTTTATCATGGGTTGGAAGTAGGTGCACACTGTATGCTGTTAGGTTGAGGGAGATGTTCATGTACGTTTAATTCAATTGTATTGTCAGCTGCAGTGGGCGGGATAACGTGAGTTGTAGAGTGCGGATGTTGCGTTGGGTCGGCATGCCTGCCTCTGTGCCAGTTCGAAGCCTGCGCCTGCGAGCACTGGTTTGTGGAGACTTGCGGGGCGGGCGCTCTACGGTACAAGGCGCCGGAACTTCTGACATCGTCCCGCTCATGGACTGGCACGGCTGCAGATGTATGGGCGATGAACCTGGTCGTGCTGTTCACCTCAGCGCGCCAACATCCATGGTCTAAACTTGATGATGCTGCCTCGCTTCGCGAAGCCATCATCAATATAAAGCCTCCGTGGGTGGAGGTGTGCGTGGGTTGCATGAGACCCAGCATTGCGCCCATTTTGGCAAGACGTACAGCCCAAACCTTTAAACCTCCAAACCCTAAGCCGCAACCCCTACAACCCCAAAAATCTAAAGCCCAATACAGTTTTTTGCTCCCTGAAGGCGATCCCGCAAGAGTTGGAAATCTTCGCACCCGTTCACGTCGACAGGCGGCCCACAGCAGCAGCGCTGCTGCATCATCTTTTCGAGCATTCCCCGTGAAAGCCTGGAAAAAAGGCTGCTGTGGAGGGGGATGTCGAACATGCGCATGTTCTGGTAGTACTGTTGTTGCTGTTGCTGCTGCTGTTGCTGCTGTGGCTGCTGCTGCTGCTGCTGTTCATATAGGCCCCTTGGGTGGCCCCGAACTCATATCAGCCCCTAAATCCTGAAGCCTCCATGATAATCCGATATTCCGATTCAGCGGCAAGCACATTCGAAGCGGTCGAGATATGGGAACGTTCCTTGCCCGAGAGCCCCATTTTGTCAATTGTCCTTTTCTTCTGGAGTTGGGATGCCAGGGACTTTCGACTATGGATTTGTTCAATGAGGATAGGGAGCTAGTGGCAGTGTATTTGGAGCGTTTAACTCATTGATTGCTTGGTTATGTTGTTGAGTCGGGCTGGTGTGGCGTAAGAACGTACAAAGGGTCAGCGCAAGACACCCTGGTACATGGAGACAGTTGCCATAGGGCTCCAGGCCTCAACATGCTGGTTTCGTGCCGGGACGAAGAGGTTCTTAAGGCCCGTAGACGTTTACTGCTTGCAGGGCAACGTCTGAACTGATTCAGTTAATATGATTTAATGCAGGTGTTGTGCCTGAGATTCTAATTTGTGCCTCTCACTAAACACACCATCAAGCGATTGGCGTTTATCCCGCGTATCCCGGCCTCAGCACAGTTGTTCGCTGAATTAAGTTACCATGATGAAGAATTTGGTGCGATGGCCGTACGCGCTGCATGCATGCGAACGGTCACTATGCATGTGCAAAGGTCAGCCTCAACGTCCCGGCCAAGGACAAAGTCAGCACGGCGACTGCGATTTGCGAGGCACTGCGAAATAGACCCGCGCTCTGTCTTTCTCCTTCTCTCTCATCTCCCTGTCACTTCCACCTCTTTATCCATCTCTCTCCGTCTCTCTCTCTGTCTCTCTTCTCGATCTCTGTATCTCCGTCCCTATCTCCCTCGGTGTGGCACCTTCCGCGCACCGAGCAGCTAACATAGAGCAAGACACAACATCGCCAGCATTGCAACCCGTATATTCACGCTGTAGAGCCCGAACAAGACGCAACTCTCCAAGCCCTTCCATCCTAAGCCCTTTAATCCTTAGACCCCAAACCCTAAGCCCTGGGCCCCCAGACCTAAACCGCCCAAACCCCTAAACCCTGAACCCCGAACCTAAGCCGCCCTGAACCATTCAAAAGGCGCTGGAGCAGGTGGCCCAGAAACGATGGGGCCGCCTGCAGCTCAGACGATGGGGTGTAGTCCGGTTCAGTCATTGGCTCTGAAGGGTTTTGGGTTCAGGAGTTCAGGGTTTAGGGGCTTAGGGTTTAAGCTTAAGGGTTTCGGGTTCAGGGTCGGCAGTGAAGTTGTGAGTTTTGAGGATGCGGGTTCCGGAGTTAGGGTTTCAGAGTTCAGGGTTTAGGACTTCGGGTTTAGGTTTCAGGGTTTGGGTTTAGCAGGTTTGAGGGCTTCAGGAAGTTTT